GAAGAGCTATGCTGATTCTGTGTGTCGAAATGAGGGGGGGAGGACCCCTATTTATAGTTTTTCGCGCCTGACAGGTCGAGACCGCCGTCTGGAAAATCCAGACCGCCGTCTCGACCATGCAGGGGGTCGAGACCGCCGTCTGGAAAACCCAGACCGCCGTCTCGACCTCTGCAGAAGTCGAGACCGCCGTCTCGACCTCTACAGAAGTCGAGACCGCCGTCTAGAAAATCCAGACCGCCGTCTCAACTTTGCAGGCGTCGAGACCGCCATCTAGAAAATCGAAATGGCGGTCTCGTCCTGGCGTTGAGACGAGATGGCGGTTTGGTCCTTCCAGACGGCGGTCTCGTCCCTTCAGGGCGAGAAACTTTATTTTCGGGCCAAAAAACCTTCCTATCTTGGTACGGGAGCCTAATAGCCTCTCCTAATGACTTGTTAAGCTTCGGTCGTCTTCAAATAGGACGCTTTCTGACTTTATTTGGAGGCCGGGAAAGATTTGGGGTCTACAGCTGCCCCCCCTTTACCCGACCAGTCGACTGCTAGCCTTTTGTGCAGAGGTGATCGACTGGAGGGTAAAGGAGTTGACCCTCTTGCCCGGTTTCCCTTCAGATACTCCGTCTTTGCGGCGGATGACCTTCTGGGGAGATGTGTTGTGCGCTTCCGGATGCTCCTTCGACGCGGTAGCTGACCCCTTCGGCCGATGAGTACGAACCCCCATCCGGTTTGACGAGTACTAACCCCCGCCCGTAAGCCCCCTTTTGTAAGGCTCGATGAGTTTACACCCCCATCTCGGTGTTTGACCTCCGGATGCTCTTTCGACGCGTAGCCGATCCTTCGACCGATGAGTACGAACCCCCATCCGGTTTGACGAGTACTAACCCCCGCCCGTAAGCCCCCTTTTGTAAGGCCTGATGAGTTTACACCCCCATCTGGTGTTTGACCTCCGGATGCTTCTTCGACGCGTAGCCGATCCTTCTGCCGATGAGTACGAACCCCCATCCGGTTTGACGAGTACTAACCCCGCCCGTAAGCCCCCTTTTGTAAGGCCTGATGAGTTTACACCCCCATCCGGTGTTTGACCTCCGGATGCTCCTTCGACGCGGTAGCCGATCCTTCGCCGATGAGTACGAACCCCCATCCGGTTTGACGAGTACTAACCCCCGCCCGGTAAGCCCCCTTTTGTAAGGCCTCGATGAGTTTACACCCCCATCTCGGTGTTTGACCTCTCGGATGCTCCTTCGACGCGGTAGCTCGATCCTTCGAGCCGATGAGTACGAACCCCCATCCGGTTTGGTGCCTCTGGATGTCCCTTCTTGCGGTAGCTCGATCCTTTAGCGATGGTGGCGGCTTACCGATTCTCGATCATGCGCCGCTTCACTCGGGGAGTAATTTCGTGTTTGTGGTTTGGACCTTTCCGGAATGGTTATCCGGTTGCCGGAAATCTGGTTTGTCTGTTCATCCAGCTTCATTGGTTGTCGGGGATTTTTGCTTTTGATTTTTGTGTTGGTTATCCGACCCTTGCCGGTTGGTCGGGTTTTCTTTGTTTTGTTCGACTTTTGCTTGGTAGTCGAAATTTTGTTTGGTTAATCCCGCCTTTTTCTCGCGCTTTATCTCTTTTTTCTCGCGATTTTGGATTCTCGCTTTTTATTGAGCACGTGCCTTTTTTTTGTAGTCTTCTTTTGTTACGCCGGCTTTTTGCAAAAGAAGGCAAAAGAATGCGGAAATAAAATTTTATTTATAGGAAATTTTATTACAGCGATTTTTCAACCAGATACAGTCCCTAAGAGTCATCATCATCGAAGGAGTGCGTGGGGGAAATGTTTATACATGTGGTAGCGGAAGTCGATTTGTTCCCGGAGTTCGTCGTTGTAATCCTCCCGGAACGCCGCCCACTCCCGCCGCATCCTCTCGCCGCTCTTGGCGGATCTCATTTTGGCCCTCTTGAAGCGGCCTGTTGGCGAACGTCTTGGTCCTGCCGCCACCGGGTCTCGCCGCTCCCGCCATATCGCCATTTGGCCGAGCCGCCGGCTCAGGTCGTTCATGTGTTGATGGAGGCCAGCAAAGTCCTCCGTGTATGGTGGTGGTTCGTCGCTGCCGCTGCCGTCGCCGCTGCTGGGAGCCGGAGATGTGGGCGCATCCTCGCATCGCCACAATTCCCCGGAGGTCCAGCTCAAAGTCCGGGGTGGGATGCGGTGGCGAACCGACTTCCTCGGCCGTATCAAGCATTCCCATGCCGACCAAGCATTGGCCCATTGATGGGCTCGGGTCGTAGATTGCGAGCCGCTCTTCTCGGCGGGGCACCCCATTCGCTCTCGCTAGAGGGGTGATGAGGGGAGCCACAAGGATGGCCCCTATGGATCTACTCCCAAAGTCCTTCAGTGGCCCTCGGAGGAAGTACTCTGGATTGCAGCGCCGTCTCGGTGCATGCAATAGAGAATGAAGAGGTCGAGGAGCGATATCTTCCCCTGACTCTCTTTCTCGGCGTGGACGGTGCCTCGCTGCCAGCCTTGTGGCAGTATGCGGAGTGGTGGGGGAGTGCAGACCCCTCATCAATGAAGGTAATGTGGTGGCCCCAGTGAGCTCATGCCACATCTCGACAGCGAAGTGAGGTTGGTGGGCCTAGAGCAAATGGCCTCACGATACTCCCGAGTTAACGCCGCCTCGGCCGGATGAATCCAATGGAAACATTGAATTCCTCCAAAGTGGTAGTGTGGTATTGCCCACCCATAAAATAGTTGACCATTTTGGTGGGCTGCATGCCCGAGGCCATGGAGGGGATCTCAATGAGGGAGACCGAGGCCGAAACTCGAGTACCGCTTGTGGGTACACATGAGCAGTGGAGGCCGTAGCAGAAAACCCCACCCGATGTTATCAATGTGTGCTCGGACGTCCTCCTCCCATCCGAACTCAGCCCAAGATGCTGAAGTCCAAGTGTCGCGAGGAGTGCCACTGGTAATTTCGAGGTTGTCCGAGCGGGCTCGGTGTTGTGGTTGAAGTTGAGAAGGGTCTCGGGGTGGCGGTGGTGCTCGAACCGCTAGCACCGGCGGTGGCCCTTCTCTTCGGGAGCCGCTTCTACCGAACATCTTGAGTGGGGAAGGCTTGGGGTAGTAGAATGGGAGTTTTGGAGGCTTTGGAGGCTTAGGAGGCAAGGAGAGTTGTGAGGAAACCCCCAAGCGCACCCCCTTTATATAGGATTTTCTTTCGAGTCGAGACCGCTGTCCGGGAAGTCGAGACGGCGGTCTCGTTTTGCCAACGGATCGAGATCGGCGGTCTCGATAACCCAGACGGCGGTCTCGACTTTGCCTAAGTCGAGACGGCGGTGCGGTTTCTCGAGACCGGTAGTCTCGATTTGCAAGGGAACAGAGACTGGCGGTCCGGAATATCCAAACGGCGGTCTCGAATTTTCGGTTTTTTTTTTT